CGTCTATCCCTTTGGTACGTATGAGCTAGAGGCCCTCTATCGGTTTTACTATTTTAGAAAGAATGCTCATAAAGGATATCACGGGGGATATATCGGTGGGATTTGACCCTAGAGATCCCTCTCCTCTCCAATGATTGTTTATCCGATGTTTACCGAATTACTTCCAGCTTCCAAATTTTGTTTGCTACTCTTTTGATAAATACAACATGCATTTAGTATGGGGCGAGGAAGATGATAAGACAAAAGTCCACCCTATTGTTTGTGACCAAATGACACTACCACAAAACAGAGGTGGAGTAGAAATGAGACTACTCGACTAGCTGACTAGATCATACTTGAAAAGGGAGGGTGAAAACTAGTTAATGAAGATGATTCTATATGGACAAGGGTCATGAGGAACGCTTATTTTCGAACAAGGTAGGGTCTAAACGTGCTAATCAAAACAAAGATGTTCGTTTTGCTTGGTGCAATTTCAACAACTTTGTGATTCTCTTGAAAAGGATATGCCTTTAATGTTAAAAATGGAAGAAGAATAAAATTATGGTTTGATCCATGTATTTTGCAGGTTCGTTAATTGAATGTGTTATAGACGAGGTGTCTGCAGAACTTCTAGACAAATTAGTGCAGACTTTTTGAGAATCATACCACGACTCGAAATTATGGGAATTTGAATATCTTCTCTCGCCGAGTGTCCTACACTAAATCCATGTTGTCCTGGTCGATCCTCTCTCAACCAAATATAATCAACTCATATGGAGTATATAAGTGAATGGTCATTTCACCATTACGTATGCTAACAAAGTTAACTCTCCCCGGCAAACTACTCGCGCATTTTTGATTTGCAAGAAGATATGAAAAATCCAAATGTCAGAGAGAGTACGAGAGTTCACGTGGATGGAAATATCAGGGAAATCCCTCGACCAACAACTTTAGGAAATACAAGAACCTAACTCAAGATGATAAATGCTCCCAATGTAAAAACAACCCAGAAACCAATTTCATGTCTGCACTAGGGGTGGGCACCCGGTTCTGTAAACCCGAATCAAAACCGAATAAAATTACTTCGGTTCGGAATTTAAAAGGCAAAATGCATTGTTTCGGAAACCAGGGTGTACACGCCCGAAATTAAGTCGCAAACTGGCTCTAAAACCACAATCTCGTCTATGCCTTTGGTACGTATGAGCTAGAGGCCCTCTATCGGTGTTACTATTTTAGAAAGAATGCTCATAGAGGATATCACGGGGGATATATCCGTGGGATTTTACCCTAGAGATCCCTCTCGTCTCCAATGATTGTTTATCCGATGTTTACCGAATTACTTCCAGCTTCCAAATTTTGTTTGCTACTCTTTTGATAAATACAACATGCATTTAGTATGGGGCGAGGAAGATGAGAAGACAAAAGTCCACCCTATTGTTTGTGACCAAATGACACTACCACAAAACAGAGGTGGAGCAGAAATGAGACTACTCGACTAGCTAACTAGATCATACTTGAAAAGGGAGGGTGAAAACTAGTTAATAAAGATGATTCTATATGGACAAGGGTCATGAGGAACGCTTATTTTCGAGCAAGGTAGGGTCTAGACGTGCTAATCAAAACAAAGAAGTTCGTTTTGCTTGGTGCAATATCAACAACTTTGTGATTCTCTTGAAAAGGATATGCCTTTAATGTTAAAAATGGAAGAAGAACAAAATTATTGTTTGATCCATGTATTTTGCAGGTTCGTTAATTGAATGTGTTATAGGCGAGGTGTCTGCAGAACTTCTAGAAAAATTAGTGCGGACTTTTTGAGAATCATACCACGACTCGAAATTATGGGAATTTGAATATCTTCTCTCGCCGAGTGTCCTACACTAAATCCATGTTGTCCTGGTCGATCCTCTCTCAACCAAATACAATCAACTCATATGGAGTATATAAGTGAATGGTCATTTCACCATTACGTATGCTTACAAAGTTAACTCTCCCCAGCAAACTACTTGCGCATCTTTGATTTGCAAGAAGATATGAAAACTCCAAATGTCGGAGAGAGTACGAGAGTTCACGTGGATGGAAATATCACGGAAATCTCTCGACCAACAACTTTAGGAAATACAAGAACCTAACTCAAGATGATAAATGCGCCCAATGTAAAAACAACCCAGAAACCAATTTTCATGTCTGCACTATGGGTGGGCAGCCGGTTCGGTAAACCTGAATCAAAACCGAATAAAATTACTTCGGTTTGGAATTCAAAAGGCAAAATGCAGTGTTTCGGAAACCAGGGTGTACACACCTGAAATAAAGTCGCAAACTGGCTCTAAGAGCACAATCTCGTCTATCCCTTTAGTACGTATGAGCTAGAGGCCCTCTATCGGTTTTACTGTTTTAGAAAGAATGCTCATAGAGGATATCACGGGGGATATATCGGTGGGATTTGACCCTAGAGATCCCTCTCGTCTCCAATGACTGTTTATCCGATGTTTACCGAATTACTTCCAGCTTCCAAATTTTGTTTGCTACTCTTTTGATAAATACAACATGCATTTAGTATGGGGCGAGGAAGATGAGAAGACAAACGTCCACCCTATTGTTTGTGACCAAATGACACTACCACAAAACAGAGGTGGAGCAGAAATGAGACTACTCGACTAGCTAACTAGATCATACTTGAAAAGGGAGGGTGAAAACTAGTTAATAAAGATGATTCTATATGGACAAGGGTCATGAGGAACGCTTATTTTCGAGTAAGGTAGGGTCTAGACGTGCTAATCAAAACAAAGAAGTTTGTTTTGCTTGGTGCAATTTCAACCACATACAATCAACTCATATGGAGTATATAAGCGAATGGTCATTTCACCATTACGTATGCTTACAAAGTTAACTCTCCCCAGCAAACTACTCACGCATCTTTGATTTGCAAGAATATATGAAAACTCCAAATGTCGGAGAGAGTACGAGAGTTCACGTGGATGGAAATATCAAGGAAATCTCTTGACCAACAACTTTAGGAAATACAAGAACCTAACTCAAGATGATAAATGCGCCCAATGTAAAAACAACCCAGAAACCAATTTTCATGTCTGCACTAGGGTTGGGCACCCGGTTCGGTAAACCCGAATCCAAACTGAATAAAATTACTTTGGTTTGGAATTCAAAAGGAAAAATGCAGTGTTTCGGAAACCCGGGTGTACACGCCCGAAATAAAGTCGCAAACTGGCTCTAAGAGCACAATCTCGTCTATCCCTTTGGTACGTATGAGGTAGAGGCCCTCTATCAGTTTTACAGTTTTAGAATTGTGTATTGTTCATTGAAAGAATTTATACGCCCCTTGGATGGTGTATGTTATCAAACGGTTCTCAATTTCGATTAATCTACGTCTGAATTTTTACAACAAAAATAGAAGGCTATTTAACGATAATAGGAAATAGTTCCAAGTACATAGAAATAAAACCCAAATTGAAACAACACTCAATTAAATAAACTAAGATAAGGGAAATAGTTCCAAGTACATAGAGTCATAGCTAAAACGAAAAATACATCTCAAGGAAGTCCACGAGCTTCACCGGAGGCCAGGGTTTCCTTGCTCCTTGTACGTTTGTCGACGGGAGTAACAACTGGTGGTTGCGGTGGCAAGTTTCAAATGGCCAAGGTAGTGTAGCGTTCGTCGGTGCTGTGTCGGCGGGGAAGCGGCGCTTCCGGGGTCATGCGGGGGACATCCGCGCTCGTACGGTGAGGAGTAGGAGGCCACTGCTGATGAGGGCAAGTCACTGGGTTGAATTCGTGGTGCACCGTCGTGGAGGAGCCATCATGCCAAGTACCCGTTGATGTTTGGTGAGGAGATGGGGGGTAGACCGGGCGGAAATCATGGTATGTTTGGCGGGGAGATGGGGGGTAGACCAGGCGGGAATCATAGTATGTTTGCCGGGGATCCATGTATGAGATCGGGGTGGGATTATATGGGGATTGATGGAAACTCGGAGGGGATTGATGGTAGGTCGAGCGGGGATCGTAGTATGAGCTTCGGTGGGGATCGTTGTGGTAGGATGGGCGGAACTCTTGGGATGAAGTCGGGCGGGGATCTTGGTCGGAAGTCGGGCGGGGAGCTCGGGCGGAACTCGGTCCGGCACCTTGGGTGGAACTCGGTCCGGCACCATGTGTCACAACCAATGGGGGCGGCACTTTCCAAGAATGCAATGGCGTTACGTCGGGCACGTTGGGCCTTTCCCGAACCCTCTTGCTCTTCTTTCTTTCGTATGGTGGTGGGGGATCGGGGACATCAACTTGTACCGGAGGTGGCGGGGGTGCGGGCATGGGCGGATATCTACGATGATCCCGACCCTGAGCTCTGATACAGCCAAGCAGACTGTTTGCCATCCTCCTGATGAAGCTCACATCTTCATTGCCCAACTCAATTATCCCGGTGGTCATATCTTTTATACGCTCGATCCCGTCAGCCTAAATCACAAAAAAGAAAAAGTTAGAAAAAGACTTAGGAACCAAGTAATAAATTTAATTGTTTAGACGGAATATACTTACAAATGCACCATCGGCCGCACCCTGCGGAGTCATGTAACGAACCGATGTTTGCCGATATCGATCCAAGTATGGGTCATGATACCCCATTCGGCCCACTAGAGTTGGAGTGACAATATCCTGGGATTGTCGGTTCTCCCAAATCGTGATGAATTTCGCCAACTTCGTGGGCCAATCGCGAGTACCTTGCCGACCATCTCGCCCATGAAAGGCCCTTTGACTATCGGGGACCTCCAACGGAATGCACTGCTCCCGACCAAACTGACGGAGGCATCGATCCAGCAAGTGCCACTCCACGATCCCAAAACAAATTAGAGGGACCCTCGTGCACCATTGCCCGATATGACCGGGGAATTGCTGGAGATGCCAATGAACGATGTTCTCCGGGTATGGATCGAAGACAATCTACAAGAAAGAAATGAGTAACTTAAGTTAGTCAAAATTGGAAAAATACATGTAGTCCCATGGAAAAAAGATATAAATGGATCGAAGTATAGAAGTTACCTCTCCTTCCCAAAGTGGCTCAAACCTCCTCTGATACTCGTCCAACTTGTGTTGGGCAAGGTTGTCGCATGTTGTGTGTCCGAGCCACCTTATTAATAAGACAACTACAATAAGCTAAAACACAAGGGAAAATGTGTTAAGAAAAAACATGATTAGGTATGAGAAGTTTACCTTGTACCATAAGCTTCACCTCTTAGGGGATGATCGATTGGCCAATCTCTGTCGGGACGTTGGACCGGTGCAATCCATGGCATATGCTCTCAAGCCCAAAATTGGACGATGAACATTGCGCCGCCGACCTCCCTCACTGCTTTGAGAGACGCATTGCACAAGTTGTGGTAGATCATAGCTAGGCAAGCGGATGCCCGGCTATACTCCCCCATCTCCTCGCAACTACCGAGGATGATCCTAAGCCATCCACAACTAAGGAGATTGCTTGATTTTTTGGAGAAGAACACTCCTCTGATCATGGCTATGAGATAGACACGAGCATATCTCTCCTTCTCATCCTCCGGACTTTCCTCGGTTAGGGGATGACTCTCGTAATGGTCTCTAAAATACTTCGTCAACCTAGTAATTGAGACTTGGTGTTTCCTCATTGGTGGCATGCGATCGGTCGCATCAACGCACCCCTTCCCCGGTACTTTCACTCCCAAAACACTGTGGATGAAATGAACCCAACCGGGCATAGTGTCACGATCCTCAGGGGGATGATCACTCACGCACACCGCTTTGCGCTCGATGGGCAAATGAGTTAGGATGGCGACATCCTTTAGCGTGATGGTGTCCTCTCCTTCTCTAAAGTTGAAACAATGGGTCTCCTTTCTCCATCTCTCGGCTAATGCGGTGATGAGTTGGCGATCAACTTTGATGTCGTTAAAATGCCTAATTGAGTCCAACCGTGCACTTTTGAGAAAGGGCAAGATAGCTGGGTGGAATGGGAGCACATTGGTCGTACCCCTGTACCGGAGTATTGTTTGTGCCTCCTAGCGAAAATTTACACATTAATTATTATATATTAGTCAGGTTTTTTTTCTTATAACTATAATTAATTAAATTAAATTATTTAACTTCAAGTAGAATTTTATTATCATAAAAAGACATTTCATATAATTAACATAATAACATTCTAAATAAATAATAATTTAAACAGATACATACATATTATCATAAAACAAACATCCCAAATTAATTAACATAATAACATTCTAAATGAATAACAATTAAAGAGATACATACATATTATCGTAAAACAAACATACTAAATTAATTAACATAAATAACATTGTTAATGAATAATAATTTAAAGAGAAACATACATATTCAAATGTTTGAAATTAATAAAATTCTTTTTTACACATAAAAAAATACATCGTATTAGTTGTTTGGTAAATAATTTAATCGTATTGGTTGTTTTAAATAATTTAATCGAATACAGAGTAACACTCGTTAGACTCTTAGAAGAGGTATACATCTTCTTAGAAACACAGTCTTTTTGACAGAAAAAGGTGGGATCCGAGGATCTCTTAATACCCGATTTTCCCAGGTAATGGGAGGATATGATAATCGCTTAAAATCCCATTTCCTTAGACGTCCATCTCTTTATAAAGAGTCGAAGTAAGTGGCGCTATGTATTCGTAAATTATTGAAAACAACCAACACGATTAAAAAATCAACATACATTTATTTTATATTCCACTAAATACATTAACAAAATAAAAGAAGGACAAATGGTGAAGAATTGTATGTACCGGGTGATCGTTCCAAACATCCCTTGACCGATGGTTGGGTTGGTCGTACAAGTCAGTTGGATCCAACGGTCCTTGCTCGAGATAATACCGTTGGTTGTATATATCCACGTCCTCCCCAACCTACGAGAAAATAACAACGAGGTTAGTACATAGATTAATTAAAAAGCTTATAACAACAACAAAAATTAAACCAGAATAATGAGTGCATACCGCTTGAAATTCATCGACATAAACTCCCTCTCCTTGCCACCAATCAGCCATTTTTTCGGGAAATTCGGACAGAGGTTCGGCTCGGCAGGTTTTGAGGAAAAAACCAAATTTCGGACAGAGATTCGGCTCGGCGGGTTTTGAGGAAAAAACCTAAGAAATATTTTCTAATGGCAGATCGGACTTAGTCGCAACCAACAGACCACTATTTCCTAGGCTTTTGGGAGGGGAGGGTTTAGAGAGATAAATTCTAGAGAGAGAAGGAAGAATGGGTTGTGGTGTGAAGAAATGAGAGGGGAAGGGGGGTATTTATACCCAACAGACCACACCCTCCAGGGGCGGTAGGGTAATTTTGCCCAAATAGAAAACGTACCTTGTCGTTGCCGAGGCAGTTTGGGCTTCCCCAGGCTTGACCGCACCTCAGCGCTTCGTTCCCCGATCCATGGCGCGGATGGCTCCGCTGGCGCGAGTTCAGGCCTCCGATCGTTCCTCCATCCAACGGTCTTCAAGACCGTTCCGCAGAATCTGAAGACCGCACCTTCCTAGTGCATTTCTTATGCTGACGTGGCTTGGAACGCACCCCTAAGGTGCGTTCCATTAAAATTGGTGCTATTTCTGTCAATTTTTTCGGATTAGTGCTAGTTTTGTAATTTTTGTTTTAAACGTGCTGTTATTGGAAAAATCCCAGACTAGGGAGACCCTTTCTCTTTCCTTTTTAATGGCTTCTTTCCTGTAGCCTGTAGGATTAAACTTTTCACTTTCAGTTAATTTATAATTTATTGAATAAGCCCACCCCTGTACAACTAACGAATGGAAACTGAAAAGTTGAGTTCTCAGTCGTATTATTGCCGTCGGCCGTCAGGTACCCGGTGCACAGTTATTACGCCGGAGATAGGGGAGATTATAGCCGGCGAGGAATCGGCGGCGGAAATAAGTTTGAGTAGCGCTGTGACGCCGTCGGGAGCAACCATGCGTTGTCGGAATTCTGGTGACTTGTCCTGAATCGCTATCGGTTTCCAGGACGCGAATCAGAGGAGTAATAACTCCGGTCCCGATCAAGATTTGCTTGCGGGCATCGAAATTCGAGATTGAGCCCCCATCTCACCGTCGCCGATTGGCAACCTGGTGAGCAAATCCCTGACGTAGAACCTCATGTCGTCACGACAAGCGCTTGACCGGGTTGGGATACGATGATAGCGAACTCGCCGTGGGAAAGAACTCCGGCGGTCCAGCCAAAGAATAGGGAATTTTGCAGGGGTGTGTTTATTTAATTAAATTAGTTAACCGAAAGGGAAAGTTGTTTATCTCTATAATAAAAGAATCCATAAAAAAAGAAAATTACGAATCACGCGTCAAGTTTCCCGCACACAGCAACAAGTCCACAACGCAGGAAAAGAAAGATTTTTGTTTAAAGTTAAATGGGACAGATGGCAGGATGGGATTGGATGGGTGCACCACATCACCAATCCCTGCTGGTGCACCCGTCCCACTGAAGTTTTTCTCAGGAAAAGAAGGATTTTTGTTTAAAGTTAAATGAGACAGATGGCAGGATGGGATTGGATTGGATGGGTGCACCACATCACCAATCCCTGTTGGTGCACCCGTCCCACTAAAGTTTTTCTCAAGAAAACTAGCATCAATGTCAAAAAGACCATATTAAATTTATTAATTAAAATCAATATCTAATTACTCTTATCAAATTAACAGCAAACTAAACCAGGTAAATTTATCAAAAGATTATAATTTACTTAAAAAGTTCTTTAAATATTAAATGTTTAATGACCTGTTCCATTATTGAGAGGTAAGTCATTCTATCATGATCACAAATACAACATGCTCTTCTCATATGCAAATACAACATGCTCTTCTCATATGCATATTTAGTTTTTCAATAATATCTTAAGCGATTTGAGGAAGACACATATGACATACTTAATGACTAACCAGCATTGACCTGGTATTACCTCATCATGGAATTACTAATGACTATTCTATTGGGTTAAAGACATATTTGGTCACTGAGATTACTAAATTAGGACATGTTTAGTCACTGTAAAAATTTAATATCAAATTTGGTCACTAAAATTACTAAAACAGGACACGCTTAGTCACTCGCCGTTAGTTGCCGTCCAACTCCGTTAAAAAACTCCGTTATGTGCTGACGTGGCTAACGTGAGCGCCTAGTCAGCGCCGTTTTGGGCCGGAAATGACCAAACCCGACCCGCCACGTCACTATACCCGCCACGTAATAAACCCAACCCAACCCAATCCATTAACCCAACCCGACCCAGAAACAAACCCTAACCCACCTAACCAGACCAGAGGCCACTTAAACAAATCAAAATTGATTTGTTTCCATTACAGACCCTTCTCCTTCCTCGAGCTCTTCCCGAGCTCTTCCCCTTCGCCATTTTCGATCAAACCCTGAGAGCAGAGAGCAGGGAGAGATGAAGTCGGGTTGAAGACGCGTTGAAGTCGCGTTGAAAACTGGGAGTCTTCCCCTTCCCCGTCGCATTGAAGTCGCGTTGTTCGACTTCTTCGAAGTCGCGCGTTTCCGCCATCGCAGTCAGTTTCCCTCGCCGGCAGACAACGAAACCTTGAGATTCTCTTCGATTCGCGTTGCACTTCTTCTTCTTCGTCTCCCGCCAGCGTCAGCTTCCTCAATCGCAGCAGTGGAGGAAACCCAAAATCTATTCCCCCATCGCGCCAGATCGCAGCAGACGGCCTTGTCGCAGGTGGCCGACGCGTTCGAGGAGCTGGCTTGGGGGTTAGGGTTTGGGATTTGGTTGTGGTGGGTGATTTGGAGGTGGTTTTGTTTTTGGGGGAAGTTGATTGCTTGATTGATGGATTTGAAACTAGGGTTTTGATTTTGGTGGGTGTGGGAGTGGAAGTGGAATTGAGCTGCTGCTTCTTGTCTTTCTTCTTGAGGAGCTGAGCAGTATCAGCTGTGGAATTGGTGGGCTTCTTCTTCGTGGTGAGTAGAGAATCGCTATTGCTGCTGGCCTTGGACTTGGTGGGTGATGTTGATTTAGTAGAGTTGGAGGATTTGGTGGTAATAAGTTTGGTCTGGTTCTTCTTACCACTCGAAGAAGAAGAAGACAGAGTATCTCCGATAGCAGCAGAGTTGGTAGTAGTCTTCTTGGTGAGTTTCATGGTCTGATTCTTGTTAGCAGAGGGAATGGTAGATTTAGAAAGCTTGGTGCTTGGTGTTGCTTGTGATGATGATAGGCTGCTGCTGCTGCTCTTTTTCTTGGGCAGTTGTGGTTGCTCATCGTCGTCATCGCTGTCTAAGGAAGAGGCAGAGAGGAAGAGGGGGGAGGTGAACAAGAAGAAGAAGAAGGAGAGCAAGAGTAGCTTCCTGAATCTTCACCACCGAGCTCCGAGCCGCCGGCACCGCCACATTCCTCAAGAAGATGAAGGAAGGGCGGCCGGCAGATTAATGGGGAAAACCCTAAATTGGGTTGGGGAGGAAGGAGGAAGAAGGGTTGGGTAGGGTTGGGTTGGTTTTAATGAGGTGGCGGGTTATAATGACGTGGCGGGTCGGGTTTTATTTTTGTTGGGTTAATATCCGGCTGATTAGGCAATTCTGTTTGCCACATCAGCACTTAACGGACTTCATTAACGGAGTTGGACGGAGACTAACGGCGAGTGACTAAATGCGTCCAGTTTTAGTAATTGTAGTGACCAAATTTGATATTAAATTTTTCTAGTGACTAAACATGTCCCGATTTTGTAATCTCAGTGACCAAATGTGTCTTTAACCCCTATTCTATTTCTACCAAATTAGCTATTTGGTGAAACTTATTTGACTTGAACAAGAGTCAAACCATCATTTAAAAACAAGTACTTGGTTGCCACTGCCACGTGTTTGACAGCGGAACCAACCAGCAGCATTTTTTGTTTCTTCCAAAAAAATGAATAAATAAAACCAACACTTTAGTGGTGGCGGGTGGGGACCGATTCTCCTGCTGACCTGCTCAGTAGCTAGCTGTACACTCCCATTAATTAACTAATATGTTTTTTCGTGGGGAATCTTTTCTTTTGCCTTAGAAAGACTGCTCTTCCCAGCCAGCCAGCCAGCCAGCCAGAACCTTTCTCTTTAACCCTTTCCAAGATTTAAGTTTCAATTTCACGCATATTCATTTATTAACTAAAAGTCTAAAATTAATAATTTAATAACAATCAGATTATCTGCAAAGGTTACTTTCTGACGGTTAGAATTTCAAAAATTTCGCCTTCTCTTCTTCCCCACTCGCTCGCTAACCCTATTGAGTTTTTGTTTCTTCTTTCCCGTTTCTAATTTCTTGCTTCGGTTTTAGGACAAACAAAAACAATCCGATTCCCATTGTTCCGTTTTACTTCTCCTCCTCCGTTTCTTACATCCCAATCCCTTCTTCTTCTTCTTCTTCCCACCAATTCACATCTTCCCATCGCAAACTCAAATCGGGCTTCCTTTTGAATTCCTCTCTCTCTCTCTCTCTCTCTCTTACCCAACGCACCGCCCTTCCATAGCGATGACCTAATAATTCTCTGTCTTCCTCTCTCTTCCATCCTTTTTCTGGTACAATTTTGAACCAAACCCAGAAATTCAAATCCTCCCTTTTCTGCTGCTGGGTTCGGGAGAACCCGTTTTTCCCTTCTCGCGTTTGGAAATCATACAAGCATGAAGAGGGGGAAATCGGACACCCGATTGGACAAGTACACCGCCGTCACGCGGCAGCGGTCGTTTCACGTTCTCATTGCCTTGGGGGTCCTCTATTTCTTCCTCGTCACAGTGGAAATCCCAATCCTGTTCAACTCCGGGGCCAGCTCCTCCGTCTCCCCCGACGCACTCACTCGCCCTTCTAAGCTCCAGAGCGAGGAGGATTTGCTGGACAAGGACGCCCCTTCCCGCCCTCGCGCCTTGGTGTCCCACACCGCCCAACCGGGCCCGACCCAGCTCCTCCCCGCACTCCCCAACAACATCCTCTCCAGCTTGAAGTTCGATCCGGAGACTTTTGATCCGGCCAAAAAGGACAGGTCGGTGGAGCTCCACAGGAGTGCCAAGACTGCTTGGGAAGTTGGCAGGAAGATGTGGGGCGAGATTGAGAGGGATGAGTTCGACTTCCTGGAGCTCAAGAAGCCCGAGAACCGTACCGAGTCCTGCCCCAACTCGGTTGCGCTGACTGCGGCCGAGTTTCTGAAACGCGGCCGGGTCGTGGAGCTTCCTTGTGGACTCACCATTGGTTCTCACATCACGGTGGTCGGGAAGCCCAGGGCAGCTCATGCGGAGGCTGAGCCCAAGATATCTCTCATTAAAGACGGTAGGTCGTCGGTTATGGTGTCCCAATTTATGATGGAGTTGCAGGGTTTGAAGATCGTGGATGGTGAGGATCCGCCCAGGATTCTTCACTTCAATCCGAGGTTGAAGGGGGATTGGAGTGGCAAGCCTGTGATCGAGCAGAATACTTGTTACAGGATGCAGTGGGGGACGGGTGTACGATGCGAAGGCTGGAAATCCAAGGCTGATGAGGAGACAGGTTAGCTTTTCCTTTGTCATGTTCTAGTGTGTCCATTTTTTGGTATTTAGTTGATGTTTGTGAGCTCTTGTTTGCCATCCGAGGCGTGTTCAGCAAGTATCTTGCTTTTGGCAGAAGTGGTGCTTGATTGGTAACAGGACGCAGAAAATGACCACTGTGATCTGTTGTTATGTGTCTCCTAGAGTTAATTTATCAATTTCTGTATTTATCAAGTCTGTTATTGGAAATAGAAATGTGGTATTGTGAGATGGCCAAAGTGAGTTCTGTCGATTGGAAGTCATTGGACCCGTCTCTGTTGGAGCCCTATTCAAGTTAGGAAGCTTAATGTTTGACCTGAATTTTGCAACTTTACTAGTTTGGGCTTATGGCTTTCTCCCTGGACTGAGGATATGCTCCTCTTTGCTTGATTTGCTTATTAAAATGGCAATGCACGAACATTTGATGACTGCAAAAACTTTTTAGCTTGTTATTATGTCCTCAAGATTCAAGCCTTCTTTTGATCATTGGTACTTCATACATTGTATTCTTTGCTTTACAGTTAATTGATCATAAAACATTCCAAAGAATTAGATGCATATGCTATTTGTATCCAATTGGAAGCTCCATATTCTTACTCCGTTATCTGCAGTTGATGGTCAGGTGAAGTGTGAGAAGTGGATCCGTGACGATGACAGTCACTTGGAGGAATCAAAGGCAGCTTGGTGGTTAAACCGGTTGATTGGTCGAACAAAAAAAGTGACATTTGATTGGCCATTCCCATTTGTGGAGGAGAAGATGTTTGTTTTGACTCTAACTGCTGGTTTGGAAGGTTATCACCTCAATGTTGATGGGAGGCACGTGACCTCGTTCCCTTATCGCACTGTAAGTAAAATTCTTTTTTATTTCCATGCCAATATGTTTATACAGGAACAATTGATAACATTAATCGTTAATCTTGGCAGGGATTCACTCTTGAGGATGCCACAGGACTAACTGTGTATGGGGATGTCGATGTCCATTCCATATTTGCCGCATCATTGCCTGCAGCACACCCTAGCTTTGCTCCTCAGAGGCATCTTGAGAAGTCTATTGTATGGAGAGCACCGGCACTGCCTGAAGGGCCGGTTGAACTCTTCATTGGCATTCTTTCAGCAGGTAACCATTTTGCTGAAAGGATGGCTGTTAGGAAGTCTTGGATGCGCCACAGACTCATTAGAACTTCACATGTGGTTGCTCGGTTCTTTGTATCACTTGTAAGTAATGTTTTTTTTTTGGGTGAATAAGTAATGATTTTTTTTTCTGCATTCATGTTGGTTAATGCTGTCTTTCCTAGTTGGTGGATGATGAACTTGATTTGTGTTTTTCCCAGCACGCACGAAAAGAAGTGAACTTGGAACTGAAGAAAGAAGCAGAATTTTTTGGAGATATAGTGATAGTGCCTTACATGGATAACTATGACCTTGTAGTTCTAAAAACCGTTGCCATCTGTGAATATGGGGTGAGAAATTGCTGATTTCATCTCGAAGGAAGGTTCATTTTCTCAACAATCTGGTACTAATATAGTGGCTTTTTATTATTTCCAGGTCCGCACCGTTGGGGCAAAGTATATAATGAAGGGAGATGATGACACTTTCATAAGGGTAGAGACAGTGCTTGATGAAGCTAAAAAGGTTCCCGAGGGTCGAAGCTTGTATATTGGCAACATAAATTATTTCCACAAGCCCCTCCGACATGGGAAGTGGGCTGTCACTTACCTGGTACGCATTGAGTCTCCTATTGGTTTATTTTCTATCCAGTTAGAAAGCATCCCGTGCCTGTGGCCAGCGAGTCAGCATGTTCCATGTAGAGAATGAAAATAAGTATTTCTGACTCAACAGGAGTGGCCAGAGGAAGATTATCCACCGTATGCGAATGGGCCTGGTTACATCTTGTCTGCGGACATAGCCAAATTCATTGTCGCCGAGTTTGAGAAACATGAACTAAGAGTATGTGTTGCTCTTGTTTTAGCTACATTACTGTAAATTGTAAAATAGGCATAATCAGCTGACACAATAGATCTTCTGTTTCGTTTGTAGCTGTTCAAGATGGAAGATGTGAGCGTGGGAATGTGGGTTCAGAAGTTTAACAGAACGAAAACAGTGGAATTAGTGCACAGCTTGAAGTTCTGCCAGTTTGGATGCTTCGACGGCTATTACACATCGCACTACCAGTCTCCACGGCAGATGATCTGCCTTTGGGAAAAGCTGGAGAAATTTGGTTTGCCTCAATGCTGCAACATGAGATGACAACTACTAATCAGTTTAATGTATACTGCGCCCTGTATTTCATTGCGAGGTACGAACCACCCCCAATATGACCTCATCGTTCCTCCCATCATCGGCATCACAATGACAGAGAAATGCCGAGACAGTGTAGTAATGTGAAGAGTAGACATTTCAGAGATCCGCAGGACAAATGTGGGAGGTGGGGAAAAGAGGTAGAAGAAGCGAAAATGAGAGTTCTTTTTAAACTGCTTAATTGTAGGAAAAAATTCTTGTATATATGCTTGCGAGGTCAAGGAAAACAAGAAAATTTTATAAGAGAACTCTGTTTTTCAGCTTCAAGAAAAATCGTTCTTTTTAAATTTGAACGTTCTGGTCTCAGGATTCAATTCACGTTACAGGAACTAATCTTAGTGAAGCAAATAATTCTTCTTTCCATACTTTGATCATGTCTAGGGATGTCAATCAAACCCGTAATCATGGGTACCCTACCCGATTGTAACCGGTCAACGAGGATAATTACCTGCTTTGACGGGTTAAGGGGCGGGTACGGGTAATATCCGGTTTCAAAATAAAGGGTAGGGTACGGGTATGGTAATCGATAATACCTGCTCCGTTATACCCGCCCCGCTAACCAAAGGGTCAATTTCCCTTGAGAAATTTAGATTAGCTTGTGTTAGAAACACGATTTATCGTGTTTATTATTATTATTATTATTAGGATAATCATTGTTAGGGTTAGTAGTATTCGAGTCGTATTAGGTTATTTATCAGGTTTATTTCAGTCTTTTCCTATATATATATATGTACTTTATGTTTCCGACATAATCAATAAGAAGCATATTAAGAAAATCCCTAAACCCTATTCTTTCCCAGACCCTCTCAATTTCTGTTCTTTCCCTAATCTGGCCGCCGGCCATTCTTTCTGTTCTTCCCCAATTCTGTTCCTAATCCCTAATTCTCTTCTAAATCCCTAAATCTCTACCAATTCCCAATTTCCCAACACAATTGTTGGAACCCTAAAAATAGGTTTCCTACATCTGGTATCAGAGCCCGGTTTCGAGAATTGAGTTTTTCACAACTCTCAACCGGGGACGAGTTCTACAACTGGTTCGACGATGAGCTCTTCAAGGCTCTCGGACATGTCGTGGGCAGAGCTGCGTGAACGGGCTCGGCGCATCGGGCGTCGTTGGAGCTCCGAGAAGCTGCCGACCGGGGATGCTTCCACAGGAGAAGAGCAACCGCCGGTCGTGCAGGTTGACTCACACGGTGACATTGAGAGGCGAGCAGAGCAACCGTACGTGGAGGAGGTTTTGGCAATCGAGCCGCTAGCCACGGAAGAGCTTCCAAACGTCACCAACAAACAGCAGCAGCTACCGACAACATTAGTCACCATGACTGCGACTTCATCATCAACATCACTTGTAGCGATTGAACAACCATCCAAGGCTGCCGAGGCTATTGTCGCGATCGTGAGTGAAGAAGAAGGTGAGAGGACCAAAGCCTCTAAGGAAGAAACCCGAACTGAGGGGTCGGAGAGGAGGTCAGCCACGGCCCGAGTGGCGAACTGGCGGTACAAGAAGAAGGAGAGGGAGTCGCCACTGGTCGAGAAGAAGAATGAATCGTCGGAGGCGCGAACAACGGGGACGGCGATGGCGAAGAAGATGGATGTCGAAGCTTCGAGATTGCCCTCCGCATCCCGGGTGGGTCACTCGACGTTGGAGAACAAGATGGAGAAGAGAATGCCAGTACTCGAGCCACAGTCAGAAAAGAATAAGTTACCAAGAGAGGAGAGCTGCATCGACATCATTCGGCGATGCAAAGCAGAGCAGGCTTATCGGGAATTCTCGCCGGTGTGGAGAACTCCTGGCCGCCGAGTGAGCGAATTGTCGCCGAGGAATGAGACCCAGAAGAAGACGCCGCCGTTGGAGGACGTGACGGAGCAGATGGAAACGGGCAGGCCTCGGGGTCAGCGATCAGAGAAGAGGTGCGAGACAAAGACGGCGATCGGCGAGGAGGCGACCTCGAAGACGAGGTCGGGGGCGGGCTGTCTTCCATGCCACCGGATGATTGAGACGCTATCGGCGAAGCAGGAGAAGGGTAGGTCGTCGCCGGGGAGGGAGACGCCTGTGAAGGAGGTGAAAGGTTCGCCGAGGAAGAAGAAGACAGGGTGGCTGACGGAGGAGATGAAATTTCCGACGGAGCCACGTTTTGAGAAGCAAGAGCCCCTCGTGGCGCCGCCGCCGCCGAGGAGAGGAGCAATGGTAGAGACGGGATGCGAGCTCGGCGAGACGGGGCTGTGGACGAGGATGGTCGGATCGAGTTCTTCTCTTGATCGTTGGGAGATCTGCTTGTCGTGGGAGGAGCGGCTGACGGCGGAAGCGGAAAATAAGGAGGGCAGCGGCGGGGCATTTTCCTCATACGACACACCGCCCCTCTTTCCCTTCCCAGAAGTGAAACCCTACAATTCCTGTGGGCCAAAGCCTAGGTCCAATTGGGTTTTCCATGGGTCTGGATGTAGGTTGTGTGGGCCGCAGAAGGTGGGAAATCAGGCTGATCTAGGGTCACTTAATGGGCAGAGACTTGAGGAAGTTGGGCCAACGGTAATGGGCAATTTTGTGGAGAAAGGCAAAATAAGCCTGAATCAAGGGGTGGACTTAAAGGAGAAGGAAAATGGATCTTTGGCCTTAGCAAATGTTGTGACGATTGAGCTTAAAAGAGTTGACTCTCTTTCATATGATGTGGTCTTCAAAGAGAAAGAAGATGAATTCGTGGGTTTAGATGGTGGGCTCAAGGAAGAACAACTTTTCGATTCTTACTTTGTGGAGTTTGAAAAGGAGGGTGGAGATTTATTTGGTCATGGTTGCGACATGATCCACATGGGTAAGGAAGAAGCAAGGGGAGCCGAAGTTGCTGGTATGAGATTCATTCGAGTAGTGGAGCCCGATTGGAAGAAAAGAAAGCGCAAGAACGATGTGGATTACACGAGGGACGTGGAAGAGTGGGTCAAGTCGGTCAACCTTGAGGGCAAGGTTGGTCTGAAGGGGGAGGAGATGTTAGAAACACGATTTATCGTGTTTATTATTATTATTATTATTATTATTAGGATAATCATTGTTAGGGTTAGTAGTATTCGAGTCGTATTAGGTTATTTATCAGGTTTATTTCAGTCTTTTCCTATATATATATATATGTACTTTATGTTTCCGGCATAATCAATAAGAAGCATATTAAGAAAATCCCTAAACCCTATTCTTTCCCAGACCCTCTCAATTTCTGTTCTTTCCCTAATCTGGCCGCCGGTCATTCTTTCTGTTCTTCCCCAATTCTGTTCCTAATCCCTAATTCTCTTCTAAATCCCTAAATCTCTACCAATTCCCAATTTCCCAACACAATTGTTGGAACCCTAAAAATAGGTTTCCTACAGCTTGAGAAATTGAGTTTAGCTACCATTATTGATGATGAAGAATAGACGATTATTATGTTTATGTGGATTGTAGAAGCAAGAACAATTATTATGTGTTTGCGATTTTTATTTGTGTGGATTGTTGAAGCTCGAGCAGTTACAAGTATTGAGAATTTTTTTTATAAAGAAGTATTGAGAATTTTTAATGGACAACAGTATGTATGTGCATATATGTGTATAAGTTCATAGTTTAGGATTCATAAACATGGTTACCCGAATACCCGTGGTTACCCGGTGGGTAGGGTATGGTTATATAATTTTCATACCCGGTGGTTATTTGGTCGGGTATTTTAGAAAACTCTACCCGGCGGGTTAGGAGTTGGTATAGGGTAAACCCGCACCCGACCCTACCCATTGCCATCCCTAATCATGCCCCATTTGCTGGCAATGGGTCATTAAGATACTACTTATAGCTTCGATGGCACATTTGGAAAGGGAACCCTTTTTTCCTGTGTTCTGGCAGCAAGAGGATAATATAGTTTAGTATTATGACAGAACTAACTCAAGAAGAAGGAATCAGTCTTTACCAAAAAGGGCAAATTTGTGCATGTTTGTTTATGCTTCTTCCAGCCATTTCCTCCTGGACTCAGCTGTAGGTTCCAACTTCAATCATTCCACACACTCGACCATGCACAGATAGCTTAAAGACGAAAGAGTGGGAGGAAACAAACTCTAGGTTGGGATCAAAATTTGAAGAAATCATAGTAAAGAACAAAGTATATACTCATTTTGAATCGGAAAAATTCTCAGTAAAACTGACTCGTCACGGATACACCGCGATTTAAATCTCAGATAAAGCTCAAGCATAAACTCTAGCTGGGTGCAGTATAGGGCAAGTATGTTTTAATTGTCAAATCTGTGCCGGTCCATGCAGTGGCGGATACATGCATGGTTAGGGGTGTCCCGGGACACCCCTAAAATTTGGAAACACGATTATTCAACCTACGATAGTAGTTTGCGTATGAGAAAAAAATGTTTAAGTGGTAGTGGGACACCTTTAAAATTTAGGAAAATGATTATCCAATCTTCCGTAGTAGTTTGCGTATTGGTACAAATAATATTTAAGTTGTAGTTTATGTGATTTAAATTTTGGACACTGCCACTATTAGTTAATATATTTTCAATTACGCGACAACTCATTTGTTAGTGTGTTTTAGATCCAAATATAATAGTAAAATGTTATTCTTATCTCAAATTATTTTCAAAACCTAACGATTAAACTCAATTATGGGATATCCTTGTCTAGTAGGATATGTCGAGAGATATTTGTTGAGCAATATAAACACCGAATGCATTTTATCATTTGACGAAACACGTCTGAACTTTTAATGAAACTTTTATTAGTTAGATATTTTCAAATTTAATAATTATTTAATTTAATTCTAATATTTAATTTAATTTAATTTTTTATAGAGGACACCCCTACCTAGAATTCCTAGATCCGCCACTGGGTCCATGTACCCCTATTTCAATCGCTTAGGTTGTTATCTGGCAAACGGTTTTGGGTTTAAAACTAAGAAAACTACCAAATAAACAAACAAGTAAAGTGAGGAGAATTATATATGAGAGGACCTCACTTGGGTATTGCTTCCCCTAGTCTCGTATTAAGAAAGCATGAACGAAACTCTAGTGTGAAGGAGGTGTTCATATACCGTGACGTGGGTGCAAGTGCAACTAGGTAGGGGCAAACTCTCCTAGTTGATCGATAAAGGTTTGTGACAAGAAGCTAGAGAATCTAGCTCTTTTAACCGATCAACCGAGGAAATCCTAACTCTCTTAGTTAACCAATCTAGGATTGTTGCATCAAGTTAGTGGTCTAACTCTGTTAATCCTTCGGCTAAGGATGACAACAATAGGCTGAACGATCTAGCCCCTCTAAATTGATAGACTAAGGGTTGTAAACAAATCACTCGGAACTTACTCCGGACGGCGGAGAGAAACCAATCATGGTGGGATCATGGTA